CAAGCAATTGCCTTATTTCTACTAATAAACCCTAAGCCGTAACAAAGGGCTCCAATGTGGCCTTGGCAATGCACACCAAAAGTACAAACAGCGACACCACCCATGCGCAACATGGCATTGTTAGTACTCTGATATTTTTCAGCTGTTGATGGAATCAGCCTCTCTGAGAGCTACCACAGAGTTCGGGAAACCTGACTACCAGCCGGCCTCAGAACCATTAAACTGAGTTTTAGAGCTGTACCCTCATTTGGAGATAATAGAATGAGTTGCCTAGTCATAAAAACAGAGACACAAGCAAAACCCATGCATCGAATCAAGAAGATCCAGCGTTCAACATTCTAAAGTGGAAACAATGTGTTAAAAATTTACGGACATACGGCGAAAAATTTACGGACATACGGCGAACAAAGATTTACGGACATACGGCGAACAAAAATTTACGGACATACGGCGAACAAAGATGGCTGCCTAATTGAGTATTCAATCAACTTTTTTTTAATCCGTGGTTATCGAAACAATCATAAAAGAAAAACGAATAAAGAACCTTAACAATAATACATTATATATTTGTACTTATAAGTTTTAAAGTTAATTTTAAAAAATAATGGAAATTACATTAAAAAATATCGAGAAGTTAATTACAAACAAACTCGAAGAACAAAAAAAGAGTATTTTAAAAGAAACAGAACGCCTGTTAAAAGATCAAGAGAAAAACTTTACTGATATAATTAGTGCTAATTTAAAAATACTCACTAATCGGTTAGACAAAATTGAAAAAGAAGTAGATGTAAACAAATCCAAAGTCTTAAGCATAGAAAACGACCTTCGCGATTTTAAAGAAAGTCTTAACTTCCAAGAAACAACTATTATGGAAAAAATAAATAAGATCACGAAGCGTTACGAAAAGGAGATAAACAACTTAAATAAGAAGACACTAGATTTGGAGAATCGATCTCGAAGAAACAACCTAAGATTAGATGGAATATTTGAAAAGCCAAATGAAAATTGGAATGAGTGCGAAAATGCAGTAAAGGAAATGTTTAAAAAACAACTAAAAATTAGTAATGAAATTATCATAGAAAGAGCTCATAGAATAGGCCAACCTAAAGAAGATAAGAAACCAAGAACGATTGTCCTAAAGTTATTAAATTTTCAAGACAAAACAAAAATACTTAACGCTACAAAAAACTTGCGAGGAACTGGGATATATGTTAATGAGGATTTCGCTAAAGAAACGATGGAAAGCCGAAGGATGTTGTGGGAAGAGGTCAAAAAGTTGCGACTTGAAGGTAAGTATGCAGTTATAAAGTATGACAAAATTGTTTCTAGAGAATTTCGAAAGTAAATGCGCTCATTCTTAATAAGAACTCCTTGTTAATTTATTTGTGATAATTAATCATGGCTTTAATAAGTGACTTTGAAACTCTTGTCTTCAATTTTTTTGAAACAAAATTTTTTTCACTACACGAAAACTCCGACCCAGATATTAATTATTTCCATGACACAAAAATAGAATGTTCTTACTACTATCCAAATGAATTAAAAGGAATTCTATATAAGAATGTTAACAATGATCAAATTAGAATTCTGCATGTAAATATCAGAAGCATTAATTGTAATTTTGAAAAATTCCAAAATTTACTCGAGGAAACTAAGTACTTTTTTAATATTATTTGCTTAACTGAAACTTGGGCAACCTCAAACGACATAAAAAAAAATTTTAATTTTTATCTTTCTCATTTTGAAATGATCTCTCTCGAAAGACAAATAAATAAGCGCGGTGGTGGAGTTCTAATTTACATTCATTAAGATATAAGGCATTGTTGTAGAAATGATCTTAGTGTTTCTGACGGCGATGGAGAAATATTAACAATTGAGATTATTAATGAACGAACAAAAAATATTTTAGTTAGCTGTTGTTATCGACCGCCAGATGGCGTGAGCGAGAACTTGAGCATGTTTTTACAGCAAAATGTTATTGCAAAAGGTAACAACGAAAAGAAAAAAAACTTTCTTGTTGGTGATTTTAATATGAATTTTTTTGTCTACAATGACGATAACAAAGTTAAAAATTTTTATGATACAATTTTTGAATCTGGAGCAATCCCTTTAATAAATCGCCCAACAAGAATAACAAAAAATTCAGCAACTTTGCTGGATAATATCATTACCACAGACTTATTCAACAATGATATAAAATTGGGTATCTTAAAAACGGATATTTCGGACCACTTTCCTATTTTTCTAACTATAAACACCGACCAACTGCCTAAACAAAAATTAAATAAAATTGTAAAAAAACGTTTTTATACATCATCAAACATTGAGGCCTTTAAAAATCAGCTCTCATTATTACATTGGAAACACTTAAATTTTAATGAAAATGCAAACAACCTTTATGAAAAATTCTATGAAACTTTTATCTCTGTTTACGAGTCTAATTTTCCAATTGTTACAATTACATTAAAAACAAAACACTTTGATAATCCCTGGATTACCAAGGGGTTCAAAAAATCATCCAAAACTAAACAAAGGCTATACATAAAATATCTAAAAACAAAAACACCAGATAGCGAAAAAATTTACAAAGATTACAAAAATCTATTCGAAAAAATCCGAAAAAAATTAAAAAAAAATTACTATTCAAAATTAATTACTAAAGCTAAAAATGACTCAAAACGCACTTGGCAAATATTAAAAGAAATTACAGGAAAACAAAAAACATGCTCAAGCTCTTTGCCACAAATGCTTAAAGTCGATAACAATAGCTTGCATGAGCAACAAATAATAGCTCATGAATTCAATAAATATTTTACTGAAATTGGATCAATCTTATCAAGTAAAATACAAAAAACTCAGACCTCATTTTATGATTTTTTGTTACCTTTTGATAAAAATATTTCCTCTGAAGAATTATCTGCTGAACTATCATTTGATGAGTTTGAGAAAGCTTTTAAATCTTTTAAAAAAAATAAAGCACCTGGTGCAGATGAAATAAACGGGAACATTGTTATAGATTGCTATGAACAATTAAAAAATATTCTTTTCAAAATTTTCAGAGCATCTATTCATCAAGGTATTTTTCCTGAACGTTTAAAACTTGCCAGAGTTACCCCTCTCCATAAAGAAGGCGACAGATCCAATATCAATAATTATCGCCCTATCTCTGTTCTTTCTATATTTTCTAAAATTTTAGAAATAATTATTTTCAATAGAGTATACAATTATTTTAATTACAACAATTTATTATATAACAATCAGTATGGTTTCAGAAAAGGGAGCTCAACTGAACATGCCATCATTCAATTTATACATAACATCTCTAAATCTTTTGAAAAATCTCAATACACACTAGGTGTCTTTATTGACCTATCAAAAGCTTTTGATACGGTCGATCACCACATCTTAATCCAAAAAATTAAATATTATGGTTTAAACAATAAAATTTTAAAATGGTTTGAAAGCTATTTAACAAATCGAAAGCAACTTGTGTATAGTAATGATGGTTATCAAAGTGAACCCCTGAGCATAACTTGTGGTGTTCCACAAGGCTCTATTCTCGGACCACTACTATTTTTAATCTATGTAAACGATTTAAACAAAGCTTCCAAATTGAAAAGTATAATGTTCGCTGATGATACTAATCTTTTCTTATCCCATACTGATATTTATGAACTCTTTTCAACTACAAACAAAGAACTCAAACACATTTTGAACTGGTTCAAAGCTAATAAATTAACTTTAAATATTAACAAAACAAAATGGATTATTTTTCACTCCTGCGCAAAAAAACGATTTTTAACAAATAATATGCCTCAAATTTACATTGATGAAACTATAATAAAAAGAGATATTGTTATAAAATTCTTAGGTGTTTATCTTGATGAAAATATTACTTGGAGAAAGCATATTGATCATATAAGCACCAAAGTTTCTAAAAATATTGGCATTTTATACAAAGCTCGAAATTATCTAAACAAAAAAAACTTAACCCAGCTCTATTATTCATTTATACATAATTATATAAATTATGCAATCATAGCCTGGGGAAGTACGGAGAAAAGTAAATTACAACATCTTTATCGCCGTCAGAAACATGCAATCCGTGTAGTTAATTATGCGGATCGCTTTTCACGTTCGAAATATTTTTTTTGATTATATGAATGTACTAGATGTTTATAAACTTAACATATTTAATGTTTTATGTTTTACTTTTATGTGGAAAAACGATTTATCTTTATTTGTTTTCAATGACCTTTTTTCTTTAAAACCAATAAATAAATACACATTAAGAAGTAATAGTTTTCTAAATGAACCATTTTGTAAAACGAAGTTCAATCAATTCTGTATTGCATATCGTGCACCCCATCTTTGGAATAAAATAGTATTACCAAATTTTGACCCTTCTACTACTCTTCCTGTTTTTAAAACTAATTAAAAAACTTCATTCTCTGTATGGACAACATTCTAAAATTCTACTAAAAATTTATGTAAAATGTATTTTTCAAATCTTCAGCATATTGAGTATTAAAATGTTAGTATATTGTATATTTGCATGATGTTATATTGTATTAGTATATTGCATATTTGCATTATGTTAAATCTTTGCATTATGTCTTTTTTAAGGTTCCGGTGATAAGATCCTTCTGATCTTCTATCTGAAACCTAGTCTTATATTGTTAGTACGCTGAATTGTATATACATATATATATATATATACTCATTTTTCTTTTTTTTTTTCTTTTCTTTTCTTGTAGAAGTCTTAAATATTTTTATGTATCAGACTTATATTATTACATATCACGACTTATATTATTATATATGTATCAGATTTTTATTATTATATATCACGACTTGTATTATTGTATCACGACTAACATTGTAAACTAAAAAAAAAAAAAAAAAAAAAAAAAAAAAAAATACATCTGCTCCAGCCTAATAGATGGAGAAGGGGTGCGAGGCTGGTCAACAGATAGAATCTGTTTACCCCTTAAGTCTTTGCCTAGAAGACCTTCTACAAGACAGCAGCCGGATGCATTTGAAATCTGCCCAAGATGAGTATTTTTATCGAGACACCATCTCTAGCCTTTACTCAACCAAGAGCCCCAAGGCAGGGGGTGTTTTATGTCGGAGTTTGCATCTCCTAGCCCTTGCCTAAAAAGGCATATCCTACAAGGCAGCAGGACATGAAGCAGATTGTACTGGGTTACATGTTACCAGTAGCAGGATAAACCTGACCTGACCTTAAATTAACTTGTAAATTATTAACAAACAATATATTATATGAATTCAATCATTGTTTTTTGTTTTTAACTAATGTCTATTTTAACAAAAAGTAAACAAAAACTGACAAACATAATAGATATAATAATTATTTTTATATATTTATATAAAATTTATATATATATAATTAAAATAGTTATATATATATATTTAATATGTATTTAAAAGAGGAAATGAAACTCTATTATAGAGTACCTTAATTTTTTTTACAGGATGTTTATTACTCATTTTATACCGATTAACACAAAAACGTTATTTGATAAACTTGATTTTCTTTTGTTCATAAATTTAGACGCACAATCAAAAAAGTCTTATATCTTGTTAACTGATAGTTAATTAGTAGTTTTTTTCTTATATTTCTCATTAATAGGCCTAAATTCATTAATTTTGTCAAAAAACCTTATATAAATATGACTTACCTGGAATTATTTAATCATTATTTAATAAATAAACAAAAGTTAAGTTAGTTTTGCACTAAAAAAACGTAAAAAATGAGCAAAAGACGTATCACTCAAGGTGAAAGATGGCATATTATTGCGCACATCAAAGAAGGAACCAAAAGTAATAGAGAAATCGCCAAGTTAGCTGGAGTTTCTGAGAAATGCGTTCGGACAACGAAACAAAACTTTCTTCACACTGGTGGTGCTAGCGAGAAAACGAGGCCATTTAGACCCTTGTCAACCACGAGAAAAAACGATAGTGTTCTTTTTAGAGCTGTCAGAGCTAATCCAAGAATTAGTTACAAAGAATTGACTACAGAATTCAATACAATGCGAAATACATCTATTTCTCAAAGCACAGTCCGCCGAATACTTATCAAATACAAGATTGGAGTCTACACTGCTTTGAAGAAACCGCTTCTGCTGAAGGAATGCCCTGAAGGAGACCTGGTATGGGGTCCCAGAAGCGATGTGCAAAAATCTTGTTGAGTCTATGCCTAGAAGAGTTCTTAGTTGTATTAAAGCAAAAGGCGGATACACAAAATGTTGATTGGTTCATAAATTACGCCTTCTAATGTATCGTGCGTCTAAATTTATGAATAATTTTTTTTGTCTAATTTTTTTAATACCATGTAGTTGTACCTAATTATTACTTAGTATTTCATTTTTTTTGTAAACTTTTTTTAAATTTTGTATTCTGTATGTATTTATCTGATAAATAGAAAAAAAACTAAACCGAAATCTTTTTTCGTCATTGTTTTATCGTTAAAATACCTAAAATTTTCTATTCTCAAATATGAGTGCGTCTAAATTTATAAAAACCACTGTATATATATATACATACATAATAAGTAAAATTAGTAAAAATTGATGAAAAAAGTAGTTTAATTGGACAATTTTGTATAGTGGGCGTTTAGTGCAACGTTCGCTGATTGCCAGCGTAGGCCCTAAATTTAATCAATGGTGGCTTGCCGCTAGCAAAGCTTTGCTTCGCCAGTACTGGCTTGCGTATACTGGCCCTTTGAAAAACCAATGAGCAACCCGGCGCTGGCGTGCTAAGCCTGGTACAGCTCGGCAGCCGAGCCTGGTTCGCTATTGGGCCGAATAGTGTTTGCTTACTGGCAAGTTAATGAAATATTTTTTGTACTTTTTTCAACTAGACTTAAATTCATCGATAAATTTTAAATTTCATAGTAAAATATCTTTGCGTTCAAAAATTATAACCATGTAAATTTTTAACCCTCCTCAATTTGAGGGGTTGCAAATTTTATACGGTCCTAATTTTTAAACCTTGAAGGATAATTTTATGAAACTTGAAATTTATTGATGAATATAAGCCTAGTTAAGAATAGTACAAAAAATATTTTATCAACTTGTTGCTCTTATGTTTGGGGCAGAGGGGGCGAAATTTTTTGCGATTTTTTGTACACAGCCTCCAATCATCGCAAGTTTTTGTAAACCCTCATTATTTGACATAAGTATAAACATATAAATGTTTAGAGTTAGCTTTATGTCTGGAAGTTAGCTATCTCAAAGACCAAAAAATGGTGGATCCACCCCTGGTTAGGTGTCACTCATATAATTAAAAACTAGTCATATGTGTGACACCTAAAAATCAACAGCAATATTAATAAACAAAAACAAGCGTAAAAAAATTAATTCCAAAAAAAAAAAAAAAAACGACTAAGCTATTGTAAATTAAATAAAAAGACAAAGAAATATGAAAACACTCAATTACTAACAATAGCGAACAAAAATAAAAATAATTAGCAACTACAGCACAAATGATAAATAACTTTACACAAACGAAAAAGCAAACACAAAAACTTCTACAAAATAAAATATATTTTTTTATTTTTAGCGGAAACAGGTTCAATTAGTTAAACATTTTTAGAACTATTTTTCTTTACCCAACGGGCATTTGTTGGTTTAAAATTGGTTTAGATCACGTTTAGATGGCATTTACGTCGATCTAAACGTTTAGGAATCTATTCTAAACGTGTTCTGAATATTTAATTTGCGTTTAGATGACATTTACGTCGTTCTAAACGATTAGGAATCAATTCTAAATGAGTTCTGAATATTTAGTTAGCGTTTAAGCGCTAAATCATGCCGGTTTCCGTTACTTCGATTAGCCCAGAAGGGATTTTGCACAGAATGAAACGGACATTTTGGATCTTTCATTATTGTTTAAAAATTTGAATTTCATATGAATATTAAATTATGTAGATAGTAGTTTAGAAAACTTAAAAGAAATTTGAGTAAACAAAAATTGAGTTAACGGATGTTTTAGGAGGAGTAACTTTTTGATAATGACCTTTAGACATGCTTGTTTGTATATTAAAACATGGTTGTTACCATATTTAAAATCATTATTTAGTCTGATTTTCTAATGGCATAAAAAACTATACTTAGACTGTTATTAAAATAGACTATTAGTCTATAATAATTCGCATAAATATCACAAAAATTTGAAAAAAGGTTTAGTTATGAAAGTTATTAAGATTGGTATTATTTAATTAAATTGAAGCAGTTTGTATTACAGAAAAAAGTGGTTTTACAAGATTTGAAATAGTTTGTATCAAACCAAGAAGTAGTTAAAAGATTGCAAAAAAGGTAAAATACAGATAAATAATAAGTTTCTTATTATAATTCTTATAGAATGTTATTCACATAATAGGTACTTGACTTGTAGGCTACATGAATATAAAAATATAAATATAGATTAAATCAAAATCAAAAAAGATTACAAAATCCTAATTCTAAAAAAAATGCATTTATAGCCCTTATTCTCTCAAGTACTTGAGACATTGTCAATGTAGTGCAAATAAATATTAAGTGTGAATCTCAACTACTTGAGAGAATAAGGGCTATAAATGCATTTTTTTTAGAATTAGGACTTTGTAATCTTTTTTGATTTTGATTTAATCTATATTTATATTTTTTTAAAAAGAAAAAGACTTTTAAAATAGAAGTGACTTGTTAAAAGTTAAAACAAATCATTATAAGTCTTTCAATTTTTAAGTAAAAGAAATGTAATAAAGTGTAAATTACACTGTGATTTACACACATACACACATACATGCATATACATCCTGATATAACTACACACACAGATATATATATATATATATATATATATATATATATATATATATATATATATATATATATATATATATATATATATATATATATATATATGCATACATACATACATACATGCATACAAATATTTTCATTTTAATAATACTTTATGTAACGCTTTATCTACGTATGAAACAATACTAGTTTTCGTATTTAAAAATTTTTACTACTTCTTTTTCTTGGACACACAGAACCTGTTGTGAAATTATTTGAATCTTACCACTGATGTTTATATATATATATATATATATATATATATATATATATATATATATATATATATATATATATATATATATATATATATATATATAATATATATATATATATATATATATATACAGGGCCTATTCTGAGAAAAAATTTGGGCAGCGGTGAAACTCTTTAACACAGAAACACAAACCTTGACAAACTCTGTTGTCAATATGTTTGATTTCCTTATCTTTAACTTGTGTATAAAAAAATAATTTTATAACTCATTAAAAAAGAAGTATAGTTTTTACCTTTTACAATGAAAAGACTCTACTCATTTAGAAGGAACGCAGTTAAATCAATTTTTAATGTCTCTAAGTATATACACTGTCAAGTTATATACATTAAAAAAAAAAATCTATTTATCCGCCTTTTAAACAATAAAGTAACCTTTGAAATCAGTAACTCCCAACTTAACTACTGTTCAGCTAAATTTTCTTTTTTAGATGATATAAAAGAATTATGTGATAATCATAAACTGAATATGAACACCTTAATGCTGGTTAAAAAAAAAGTAAAACTTAAAGTCTTAGAGGAAGTAATTCCTGAAGCTACTCTTCATATTTTGGTACACACGGTTCAATGTTGGAATGTAAAAGAACAGCGAACAATTTTTGAAAAGACACTTGAAGAAAACATTCCTAAATTATACTTTTTTTTATCTCTATTTCTTAGTTTGTGTTTTTACCTTGTAAATTTATTTTACAGAGGGTGATTAATAAAATATTAATAATAATAACTATTATTATTGTTACAAATAATCTAATTATACGTTGTTATTAAGTTTATTATTTAGTTATAATATCTTAAACTCTTATTATCTTATCTATAATAATATTCATATAAATTATATAAAAAAAAATAAGTTTGTAAATAAAAAATAACATTACCTAATATTTTATTTAATTGATTTTTTAGATCATTCGTATGAGTGCAAAAGCAGAGTATATGCGAAAATATAGAAAAGTTGTTAAAGTTGCAAATAATTGCTTTGAATGTGAACCTCCTGTGTTATCAAATTCTTCAACTAATGCAGAAAATTTATTCGCTTTATCTTCTATTGCAATTAATATAACTGATAATTTATTTAATAGTGATACCTATAGCTACTTTTTTTATTAATATTTTCATTAAATATTTACGAATAGCAGTGGAAATGATGGCCGTACCAAGTTTAGAGACTGTTGCTGAGGTCCATCTAGAAGTTATAGCTGGAGCTATTGGGACCTTGAATGGATACAGAAAATTAGAGGAGCAATGTGGAGTTCTTGCTAATCGAACAATTTTAGTAAGTGTATAGCTAATTGTTTTTATCCTCTTTCCCAGAAAGGTTTTTAACGTCTATATAATGTTTGTTTTGATGTCAGAAAATATGTTTTGCCTTCATTGAGGTGGCAAGACTTTTGTTTTTGTATTAATTAGAATCCCATGTGTAATGAAAAGTAGCATTTATAAATAATTTCTTTGTAGCTTCGCCTTCTTTCACGAATCGGAGGGTCATCCATTAAAGATACTTCTAAGAATCTATTGAAAAGACTTTTTACAAATTTTGTTATGTCTCATTTGAGTATGGATGGTAAAGGTTCTCTTAAAAAGCTTCCGTTTAGAGACTCTGCTGTGTGTCAACTTATTGTTGGTAAAATATTATTTTTATATTTTTTGTAATTGAAATTAAATTCAAACTCAGGTTATAATTCAAATCTACTCAGTACACACTACGAATTTATAAAATTGTCGAATAAATGATTTATATGAATTGAATGAAGATGTTTATTGATTTTTTTAAATTATTTTTAGAGTTTTTCTTTGTCCGAAATACATTCGTGCATTGGTTCTCATCTTAGAATGGCTCCGTTTCGTTTAGGTGGCACTGGGAAAGGTGGCGCCCATTTTTCCAATTCTCAAGATGGAGAGGCTGGCTTGAACGATTCAAGCAAAGATGATGCTTATTGTCATGGAAGCGATCATGATAATGATAAATACGATATTATAATAATTAAAATTAGTGTAAATATGTTTAAGACTTGCATGTATGAAAAAAAATATCTGTATGTTTGATTCGTTTATGAGTATTTAGTTACGCGTTCAACGTTTGACTTTTCTTTACGGCGCTTATTTAAAGAAGCATATAAATTAAAGAAACGTAAATTTATAAAATTTAGACGACGTTTAAAACGAAAGATTTAGATGGAGTTTAAATAGCATTTAAAACGAACCATTTAGATTCGGTTTAAATGGAACATTCGATTGACCTACGTTCTAAATCAAAACTAAACTAAATCTAAACATTTAGAACGAACATTACTTAAACGTTGATTAAATGTTCGTATGCCCGTCGGGTATAAGTTGTTACTTCTTAAGTTGTCCCGACGTGCATTTGTTTTTAAAAGTTACGATCTAAATGTATTTTAAATGTCTTTTAAACGTCTTTTGAACATTAATGTTTAAAAGACGTTTAAAAGACGTTTAAAACACATTTAGAACGTAACTTTTAAAAACAAATGCCCGTCGGGGTTACTTAGCTTTCAATTAATTGTTTTTGTTTTGTTTTGATAAATCTATTTGTTCGTTTTATTTTTTTATTCATTTTCCTGCTTTATTTTTTCTTTAATCTTTTCCCAACGGGCATTTGTTGGTTTAAAATTGGTTTAGATCACGTTTAGATGGCATTTACGTCGATCTAAACGTTTAGGAATCTATTCTAAACGTGTTCTGAATATTTAATTTGCGTTTAGATGACATTTACGTCGTTCTAAACGATTAGGAATCAATTCTAAATGAGTTCTGAATATTTAGTTAGCGTTTAAGCGCTAAATCATGCCGGTTTCCGTTACTTCGATTAGCCCAGAAGGGATTTTGCACAGAATGAAACGGACATTTTGGAGGGTAGGTACAATAGGCAGAGCAGAGCAGATTGGCAGAGCAGATCATTAAAATATTAATAACGGCAGAGCAGATTATTCAATCAGCTGTTTCCAAATGTGTGATCTGCCAAATAATTCGGCAGATCATATAATAGAATTTTTATTATGTGATTGCCAAATATTTTTATGAAAAACGATGCACTTCGAATAGAATGAACTATGAGTTGACTTTTTAAACAAAAACGTTTTTTATTGTCGCAATACTTTTTCTAAAAAAAAGTGATCTGCCGTATTCTAATGTGTGATCTGTCAAATATTTCGGCAGATCATAATGCGGCCGGCAGAGCAGATTGGCAGAGCAGATCATTGTAATAATAATAACGACAGAGCAGATTATCACAGACAGACAATCAGCCGTTTTCTATTTTGTGATCTGCAAAATTATATTTGAATAATGCGTGATCTGCCAAATAATATTTGAATAATGTGTGATTTGCTAAATAATATTTGGCAGATCACACATTAGAAAATGGCTGATTGGATTAATCTGCTCTGCCGCTATCAACATTACAATGATCTGCTCTGCCAATCTGCTCTGCTCTGCCGATTGTACCAACCCCCAGTTTTTAACTTTGAAATCGGTGCCGTAAAAAGCCAGATACGCACGTACCTATATATATATTTTTAAATCAATTTTAAAGTTTATCCAACTTTACAAACTAATTTTTGATATACCTAAAATGTAAGAGCTGGCTAGAATCAAAGTGATGTATATCGATTTTGACTCAATAGTTGAGTAAAAGTTTATTCAAACCAATTTAAATTACAGTGGTTTTGCATCACTTAAATTTTAGCTTTCAGAGCATCTAGAATCAGAACCTGATTTTAGATGCTCTGATAGCTAGAATCTATGTGGTGTAAGTCAACTTCTACTTAAAATTTCACCTAAAACATTACGCTTTTAACCAGCTTATAAAAATAAATATTAATAATATACTATATGCTTATCACAATATATTATAATTATACTAGTTAGAATCATAGTAATTTTAGTCACTTTTAAGTTGACATAAAAGTTATAATTTTTATTTTATAAGTATGTCTATTTAGTTTATTCTTTTTGATTTACAATATTAAAAAATTTTATTCATAAAAAGTAAAGTTTAGATTAAAATTTCTTCTATTACTCAGGACAAAATCTAATCTAGAGATAGTTGTGTTAAAGAACTCTATAAACAAAGTTTAGATGTGAAACAAGTTTCATTATTTGTCTCTAAGTTTCATAAATTTTCATTATTTGCCATAAGTTTATTATTTGCCAGTAATTTTTAAATATGAATTTATTCATTTCTTTTTTTTTTATTTACGAATATATTCATAAATAAAAAAGGAAATAAATATGAAGATAACTGATGCAATAATATCATATCTGTTGTTAAACTCTTTTAAACTATATTATTACTGTTTAAAAATATACCATCTATAATTTTAACACTATTTGAATAGTGTTAAAAGTCGTTATCTTTGTGAATATAAAGAATTAATAAAAAAGTTTAACTTTTTCTCTTGTGTTATTTTATGTGTATTTAAGTAATATGACTGGCGAAAACTTTTACTCATACTTCAACATTGTTTTCTTTTGTTTTAGTAATGATGCTTATTATAAAATTAAAAGACATTAAATAGTTTTGCCATGTTTGAAGTAGTTTAGTTCTAATTTTAATATTTAATTATAAAGTTTTGTTTCCAAAATATGAGCAAAACCTTATAATTTAATATAGTAAAAAACACACAAACCAACATGTAATACATACAGCATATGAAATGTACGCTGGTTAGTGTTATAATATATATATATATATATATATATATATATATATATATATATATATATATATATATATATATATATATATATATACATATATATATATATAGACACACACATATATATATAGACACACACACACATATATATATATATATATATATATATATATATATATATATATATATATATATGTATATATATATATATATATATATATATATATATATATGTGTGTGTCTATATATATATGTGTGTGTCTATATATATATATATGTATATATATATATATATATATATATATATATATATATATATATATATATATATATATATATATATATATATATATATATATATATATATATATATATATATATATATATATATATATATAGACACACACACATTCAAAATTTTATTTTTTTATTTTTAAGTGCATAGAAAAAGTACTTTAATGAGACAATTTTGAAAAAATTTTTTAAAATTGCTGATTTTCCGATATATTTCTCTGAGACAGAGGGGTGCTGCCACCCAAGTTTTCCTGACATAGATGATTCTCAATTTTTTATTATTTTTCGCTAATTTATCTCCGCCGAGAAGGCCACTACAGACAAGGAGGCACTTAATTGTGGTTACCACTTTGAGGCACTTAATTGTGGTTACCACTAATAGGGAGGCACTTAAATGTGGTTACCACTACCGCATTTAAATTATAAAATCATATAGTTTTATTAGTTGTTTTGGTGGGTTTAGCATCTGTTTAAAACAAATATGGCAAAGGTATTGATCATGTTATGGTTGTTTTACCGATAAGGTAAGACCATGTAAAAATGTGTAACTAAATGGTATGGAGTAATTAAATAAATATGTATTTATGTGTGTATGTCTTACCAGATTTTGCATCCATCCATCCAAATTAAAATAAGTTCCATAATGTTGAAATTGCACATGCCTTGAATGTTTTGTTTTAATTGATTGTCTTGGTGTTTTTAAAAAACGTCATGGTTGTTTTAAATGAATATTGTGGTTGTTTTTTACATGAATGTCATTTGTTTCGAATGTAAGCAAAACCTGGTAATTCATTTTCCCTAATATTTTTTATATAGAAAAATGTTTTTCAGGTAGATATAGATTTGGAAGATGACCTTATAGTTAAACAAGTAGTTGAAGAACTAGTGCTTGAGGTAAATATACAAGAAGTGTAATATTTTAATAATTTTTTTTTTGTTTATTTAATTTAGATATATATTTATTTTGTTTTAGGTTATAAATACTAATAAAACAGATTTCTCTGTTTTCAAATCTGAAGATATTGATTCTGGTGATGTGAGCTTTTTTTTTTTTTTAATTTCATATTTAATTAAACTATGAAAATGATTTTATCACCATGGTTTTTTTTTAGGATACTTCTGATTATTATGATTTTGAAATAAATGTAAGTATAGTCAAACTTGAATTAAATGAATATGTGTTTAATTATTGGAATAGTTAATTATTCGTTTTACTAATGAGTTTTCTGAGAATAAGTTTTAAAACATTTTTTACCATTTTAACAAATGAAAAAAGGAATTATTTAATTTATAACTTTTAATATATAAACTTATTATTTAATGAAAAAAAAAAAAAAAAATTTTTTTTTTTGCAGAAATCTTTTGAAGTAAAGACTACCAATTGCTCTCTGGAATCAATTAGTTACACTGATTACTCTCCAGAATGTTCTGTTAATGTAAGTATTCTATGTTTGGTTTTTCAAGGAAATTTATTTCTATTAAATAACCAATAATATAAATATTTAATGAAATATAATATTTTAAGTTTGATTAGTTTTGATTAAACTCTATTTAATACATTATAAAAAATTGGTGTGACAAATCACTCTATGTGGAATAGATAAGAATAGATAAAAAATAGATAAAGAATAGATAAAAATTAGTCAAAAGTATTATTCCTCAAAAGTAATCCTTTTTTTTTTACAGAAGTCATCTGAAGTGAATAATAGTGGCAACGATAACCATGAATATTCTTTAAATGTGTGTTTACTATGTTTTATTTTTCTGAGAAAGTTTAGTAATAGGAAAAACTTTTTTTTAATTATGATGTTTATTGTTTATTAAATATTTGTGTGTTTATAAAAGAATCAGTAAATTTAACGAATAGGAACAGGTACAAGGAAGTGCTGTAACATTGACTGCGGATTTTGATTGTAGCAGCAGTATATTTTTATTGTTAATATTATTATTATTTAGTTTCTTTTTTTTGCAAAAAAACAGTAAGGGTTTAGGTTAGCAAAATTTTTTGGAATATGTATAACTATGTACTCTATAGTACGCTTTTTCCGCGACAGAAAGGTACCGCCGCCCATATTTTTTTTCTTAGAATAATAGCCCATGTATATATATATATATATATATATATATATATATATATATATATATATATATATATATATATATATATATATATATATATATATATATCAAATGAACATAAGGAAAAATTATTGACAATTTTTTTTTTTTGTTTTATCAGAAAAAGAAAGATCAGGTTGTAAACAGTGCAAATAAGAGGTTAGATTATTAATGGATTTTCTAGGTTGTTTTATAAGTTTAATATGGTTTCTTTCCTATGTGTTAAAATTATCACAGTAGTAATAAATTTTTATAACTTTATTTATTTAAACTTTTTATTTTATAGGCCTTGTTTTTTTTTTTATTTTACAAAAATTAGTAAACAGACCATGGAAAAAAATACTGAAACAAAATTAGGAAATAAGTTAACAGGATATATGAAAGCAGGAATGATCTCTTCAGCTGATGAAGTAAGTATTAATTTTATTGTTTAATAAAAAAAAGATTTTTGTTTTATCTTGATAGCCCTTAGTGTATATATATATATATATATATATATATATATATATATATATATATATATATATATATATATATATATATATATATATATATATACATTTCATAGCTTTTTTCTCAATGGAAAGAAGATAAAAAAACCAAAGTAATTCCTCAAAACCAGTCAAGTTGCAGACAAAAGGTAAAATGCACTCAACCAGGTTGTAATGAAATGATCATTGATCTACCTAGGCATTTGCGCTCTAAAAAGCATAATATATCTAAAGAGGAAGCAAAAAAAGCAAGGGGAATGTTCGGATTAAGAAAAGAAAGATCAGATAAACTAGAAACTGTATCAAGAAATTATCGAACTTATAAATGCCCAATATGCAAAATTAAAACAAATAGAATACAAGACCATTTATATAGAGCACCACATCACCTTAAAAAATGATCCTGTAAAGTATCGGGAATGTTTAAGCAATAAAATATTATGTGAAGAAAGTTTAATATTTAAACTTCCCATATTAGCAGAGAAATTGCCTAGTTTTGGAATCAAGGATCATTTTACACCTGCCAATGTTACTTCTGACAATGAAGAAAGCACTTCTGAATTTTCAACTATAGATGCCATTAGTTTTTCAGAAAAGCCCAACTTTACAGATTTTCTTGAAATGTTTTGTTTGTATTTAAAAAGTCCATCTGGTGGTTTAAAAGAAGGAAAAGCCGCAATAAATGAAATGAACCAAGTTCGAAGAATGATGGAGATGTTATGTCCTGATCTTGAACAAGCTTTATATCATCTTTTTTTTGATTTGAAAAAATTTCAAGAAGTTTGGTTTGAATCTGCTAAAAAAAAAGGTTATGAATCAGGAACAAAACGATCATACTTGCTATCATTAACACATTTTATGGATTTTATTTTACGCTCAAAGCTGACTCCCATGTTAGCAAATGTTTTACCCATAGACTCATCTATTACAGCAGAACTAATTTGTCTATGCCAAAAGGAAATTTCAAAATGGCGAAGAGCTCTTAAGCCTGAAGAAGCAGATAGAGAGTATGCTGTTATGGTTAAAGACACTGAAGATGTTATACCAAAGGAAGTGTTTTTTCAAGTGCAGAATAGTCCCTTCAATAAACAAATAATCGAAAAGGCTAAACAAATTCAGAAAACATTTAATGACAAACCAGATGATTACATTTGTAATCATGCAACCTTTACAAATGTACGAGACTCCATATGTTTTTCTTTAATAACTAATAACATTTCTAGATCTGGTGCTATTGCTAATTTTAAAACTGATGAATATATTAAAGGTAGTTATTCTCCTACAGGCAGCTATATTGTGTTGGTAAAAAAACATAAAACTGGACGGAAGTATGGTCCATGTCAACTAATTATTAATCCAGACTTAAAGTATTTATGTGACTGCTACCATAACATTTTAAGAAAAGCTGTGCCAGGTAAAAAAGCTGATAATTTTTTCATAACTTGGTCTGGATGTGAACTAAGTTCAGGAGATATCTCTAAGCAGTTAAACTCTTTTTTTTTTAAATGTTTGCCCGATAAAGATAATGAAAGGAATACATGTGCAACATTGATTCGTAAAAGTCTCCTCACATTTATTTATGATAACCATCCAGTAATGAAGTCTGATCTTGCTTCTCTAATGAAACATAAACCAGAAACAGGAGAGAGGTGGTACTATTTGAATGATAAAATAAAAAAAACATGCAAAACTTCAGAACAAGTCACAAAACTTTTGTTTGACTCATCCCCAACATGTTCAAAATATTTATCCACAAATGACGCTTATCAAGATGATAATAAAGGTCAATTAAAAGGGGAAAAAGAATATAACTTAAGAACATCTAGGAAACGTCTAAATACCAGTTCTGCAAGTGAAAGCGATTTTGATCCTGAAAATCTTGAAGTTATTCCTCCTACAAAAAGTAGGCCATGGCAAGAAAATGAAAAAGAAGAGTTATCATTATTGTTTGGTAATTTTGATTTATCAACAATTTTACAACAAGTTATACGTGAAACTGTACAATCCAGTAATATTCTGAATCTTCGTTCAACAAAACAGATTTATGACAAGCTCCATCATATGGCAAAAAAGCAACTTCTTAATATTACAGAGTCAGATTCTATTAAACAAAAGATTTTTTTTTCAAATGATGAAACAGACCTTATAAATTTTTTATTTGCATCTGAAATTGCAGGTAAGTCAATTATTTCAGAAGAAAAGGTTATGGAAACATTAAAAAGTAACCTAGGAACTAAAGATAATAAGAATAGAATAAAGATTAAAATAAATAAAAATAAAAATAAAATAAAAAGATTAAAATAAATAAAAAAAATAGAATAAAGATTAAAAAGTAACCTAGGAACTAAAGAGATAATTGAAAGCTACACCTCCGCTCAGTTAGTAGCAAAAGTGAGGTATGAAAAAAGTTGTGTTGTTTTCCGCAAAAAAAACTTGAAAGCCAAGAAAGCTCTATTTTAAAACCAACATTTATTGAGTATTAGAGATTTTATTACTTTGTTATTCAGTAAATTTTAGCTTAGTTTTTTTGCTTTAGTTGCTACAGTTTTAATTGTCGAGAAGAAAATATTCTTGCTTGCGTTTTTAGTTTTCCTTTTTTTTTGTCATTGGTTAGCGATTTTTAGTTTGATTTTGAGATGATTTTTTTGAATTATTTTTGTAGCATTTTTTAGTTTTGTTTTAAGATTATTATTTTTAACTATTTTTGTTTCCATTTTTTAAGTTTTGTTTTGAGGTTATTTTCATAAAATAATCTTTTTAGCATTTTTTAGTTTTGTTTTGATGTTATTTTCACGAGTTATTTTCGTTAGCATTTTTTAGTTTTGTTTCAATGTTATTTTCACGAGTTATTTTCGTTAGCATTTTTTAGTTTTGTTTTGATGTTATTTTCACGAGTTATTTTCGTTAGTATTTTTTAGTTTTGATTTAAGATTATCTTTACTATTGTTTTCTAGTAATGTTTTGAGATTATTTTCGTGAAATACTCTACAGCTGTTTTTCAAAACACCTTGCTTTTTACTTATTTTTAGAAAAACCCAATTAAAACTTTTTTTTAAAATTAAAAACTTTTTTTTAAAGCTTGTAGCTTAAAACTAATAAATTTTAAGAATTTCTTTATAATTCTTCAAAAATATTTATTTAATAACGTTTTTAGGCAAAATTAGCTTATTTTTTAAATAAGTAAACTTGCCTAAAGGCGTTTTAAAAAACGGTTGTGTTGTTTTTGTTAGTGTTTTTTAGTTTTGTTTTTAAGATTATTTTCATGAGCTATTTTTGTTACCACATTAAGTTTTTTTATAAGATTATTTTCTTAGACTATTTTTGTTGCCATTTTTTATTTTGATTTGAGAGTGTTTACTTCCATCATTTTTGTTACCATATTTTAGTTTTGTTTTAAGACTATTTTCTTGAACTATTTTATTAGCATTCTTTAGTTTTCTTTTAAGTTTATTTTAAAAAATTAACGCCTTAAAAAAATAGTTGTAAAACTTATTTTGTGTTGTAATTATTTAATTATTATCGGAATTGTTTTGTAAATCAGTTACATATCTTTCACAGACAATAAATACCAATAGCTAACTACTATAGTAATTATAGACTAAAAATAAATTTCAAGTGTACAAGATGAAACTTAACAACTTTGGTAGGTTAAATTCTATCAACAAGTTCGTTTTAATAAATAACATTTTTGAAATTTTTTTTGTAAAGTTTTAATAAAATAATAACGGATTTTTAGGTGACGTGCCCATGGCTTCAGAAAAAACACAACAAAGACAGCTCAATTTTTTATTTTTCATGGTTATGTTTAAAGGTTATGTTTTTTTTTATTTTCTTTTTTTTTTTACATTACAGTGCTACTTGATAATTTGAGAAAAGTAAAAAATTGTAAAAGAAAAATAAAGTTATATACATAGTTGTCTTCCACCCGCAACTATAATTACAAAAGTTAGCAGGCCCTTTAATTATTCAAAAAAAGTTTTTCAAAATTAAGTGATGTAGGTACTCAATTAAAGCGAAATTTTATAAAAATTTCAAAAATAATAATTTTTTTATATAGAAATTATTATTTTAGATTTTATTGCATAATAACTATAGTTTTTTAACTAATAGTGAAAAAGGTGCATTTTTACATGTTTTTTAATAACAATTTTTTTCAGCACAATGATTTTTATAAAACGATTATTATTTTCGAATTTTTTATAAAATTTCGCTTCTTTTGAGTACCAGGTTGACCTACTTTTGAAAATCTTTTTTTTTTAAATATTAGGGTACCGGTAATTTTCCCAATAAAGTTGCGCCCTTTAAATCTATCACAATCATTCTCATATTCGATAGTATCAAAATAACTATTAGCAATGTTTAGAGCCTGTAACAAGAAAAAAATTTTTTTGACCCACCCTAATATATATATATATATATATATATATATATATATATATATATATATATATATATATATATATATATATATATATATATATATATATATATATATATATATATATATATATATATATATATATATATATATATATATAAACACACACACACACACACAACCTTCGGAATTAGGAAAAATGAGGTAGGCAATTAATTGTCGACCTCAATCTTTTAGATCGGCAGAAAAATTTGATAAAAAGGTCTAATCATAAAATAAAGAAACGGGTTCGGCAATTTTTTGCCGGCCTCAAACATTTTTAGGTCGGCATTGCCGAATGCTGACCCTAAATCTGAGGGCTGTATATATATTTATGTGGTAGGTAAGGGATTGAGGTGTATTTGTTCTTTCTTGCTCTGTTTATTAATTTCAGCATCAAACTTGTATGTGATTGATTGAAAAAGAATCATCAACTTAACTGATTGGTTTTGATGGAACAAAAGTTTTTGATATATTTAATGTTATTTGGCTAAAAAAATTTATTTATTTTTATTAGAAATATATTATTTAAAAAACTTGATTAGATTACATTATTATAATTAAGTACCTGATTCTTATAGTTATCAACAGGGTAAAAGTTATTAACTTTAATCATCTTACGTTATACTTGAGTAAAATTAAACAAATAACAAGCATTAGAGAATACCGAATTAAAACTTAAAAGTCCATTTAGAAAAGTTTATATTATATTATTGTTATCAAGTTTTAAATCTTTTGCAGAAAACTTATTCATTATAACCTTTACCAAATTTTCCCAGTCATCTTTAAAACACTCTGTCTTTAAATCAATCAATAAATTTTAAAAGTTTAAATGAATAAGAACTACATTAAACATAAGCTACATAAAATTGTAATGCGAAATTTGATTTTAATACTTTGCTATCTTTAGGCAATCCCACAATCCATAGCAAAAAATTCTTAAAAAAGTTATTAAATATTGTCTATGATTTGGAGACAAAAAAAAGCATAGTAAGTCATCTTGCTCCGATCACGTGACCAGATAACATGTTTATAAGTTTTATATTTTAACTTTGATTGCAAATTTTTCTTCTTGCAAACAGAAAACTTTTTTTTAGTTAACAATTGCTGTCATAGTAAAAAAGTTTCTGAAAAAAAATTCTTACCATCAGCCTTTTACCAGTGGATTGCATGTTTTTAACAGCAATAGAGGCATTTGAATTTTTTTTTCTTTTCAGTGCTTTCCCAGGCAGTATTTGCATATTTTAAATAACTTATTAAATCAGTAAGAAAGATGAGTTTTAACTTTAAATTATTATTAATCAGCATCCTAAAGACCAAAGACAAAAGTTTTGATATGGGTGCATTCTTTGTTACATGTAGAACAATAATAACCAGGAGTTTTTATTAGTTTTATTTTTTTATTAGTTATTTTTATTTTAAAAAAAGCTCAAGTATGCCACCATAGGCAACCTACTGCTCCTATGATGGCATAGGGGAGAATGGGGCTGGTTAGCATTAAGGGTAACTTGAGGATTTGATTTGACCCTAGAGTCTTGGCCAGAAGTTACACGCAATCTTCCTAATTAACTCATTCGTGCTACAAAGCAGCAGTAAAAAATTTGCGCATGCGCATAAATAATACTGTGTTTTATTTGTTTTTAGAACCAAAAATTTGATGTGAAGTAAAAATTTATTTTTATTTGAGTATAAAATATTTTGTTTTATGAAAAATAAAAAATTTTCTCAACTTGTCAATATTGCAACACACCTAACTTGTTAGTATGCCATCATAGGAAGAAGTCACCATTTTCATTTAAACAAGCTATGTCTGCCTTGTTCAAAAGATAAAATTAAAATAAGTATTCCACTAAATGCACAAAACTTGGAAATAAAATGCATTAAAATTTTATTTCTGCACAGTTATTAATAAAAGCACAAACTTAAATACTTAATGGGATTAAAAATACAACAGCACATCCCAAAATTTTTGTTGGTTATAAAAGCAATATTTATGCTTAAGGGACGTATTTTGAATAAAACTAATATAAAGTCAGTATGGACAAGTTGGTCTAATCACTTTTTTACCATAACCAATTTTTATGAAAATATGACTGGTATGCCATCATAGGCGCCTTTCTCCTATTCTGGCTTTATATTAAATTTTATTATCTTTAGAGTTTTTTGTACCAATATGCAATAGTCAATATGCGTTTTCTATGTGATGTTTCCGTCAAGAAAAACACCAAAAAACTTTGTTGCATAATATGTTTTTATTTTAACATCATCAATAAAAAAAATTTTTGAGACTGGATGGAAAAAAAAACTAATTTGTTTTGGTAATGTTAAAGTTAGTTTGTTGTATTTAAACATTTACTTAAAGTTTTAAGTTCATCATTTTTAGAATAGTAGAGTTTGTAAATCTTATTAAATGAATAAGTTTGTGTTGTTAGCAAACATGATTAAATTCAAGGCTTTAATATAATATAATATGTCGTTTACATAATTTATATAATAGTAAAATTTATGCAAACCATAAATTATTATGATAAAAAAACATACTCGCATAATACTGCCTTATTAGTGAAAGTTTTGCGAAAATTCAAATGTTTAATATTTTGTCTAATCAATCCCTCTGTAAAAAAACTAATGGCTTTGTTTTTGATTTTAAGGACTCATTGAGATGGCCATTTAGGATTAAGTGCAGTGTTTGTAGTGACCAGTATAAGCATTTTTTAGCGGTTTATAGCAGTTTTTAGGGCCGGGTTAAGATTTCTTTACCTCCTTGCACTTCAGGCCTTCTGGCCCCTGTTAGCCTCTTAGTATTCAAATTAAAAGCGGTATTTAAGATAAAAAATATTTGTAGTTGTTGAGCTATGGCTTTATAATGTACTTTCTTTTTTATCTAAACAAACATCTCGCGTTATTGGTTATTGAAAACACGCTGCGATTGGTGAAGGTTTTAAAACACCATTCTTCTGCATTTAAAGCTTGTGAATGCAGATATGATATATTTTAGGTTGATGGAATTCAATACCCAGTTTTCTATTTAAACAATAGAAAAATCTGAAAGAAGTTCCTGAAAGAAAGCTCTAAAATGAAAATATTCGTTCTATAAGTGAAAGTTAAGATCAGTAAGACATCGGTTAAAATGTTTTTGTGCGCTGCAAGTAATCTTTGATATATCCATGCTGCGGAGATACACAAGAAAACCAGACAAAGATTTCAATCCAGAATAGGCTTTCTTTCTTTTATCTAGATCACTCATCAGTTTGTCCGTGATCTCCTTAACGTCAGATTGTCAAGAAATGTAGTTTTAGTAAATCAGTGTAGTTTTTACACCTCTGGCATGCTCTTGGAAAACTAAATTCGGTTATTAAGTGTATGAGTTCTACTCAAATATCTTTAGATAAGTACGAGATACAATCCACTCCTTAGTTTTCATGAGTTATCAAGTGTTAGGCGAGGAAAGGATCAAATTTTATTAATAGCTCAATACATCTAATAAAGTTTCCGTCGTGGATTGATCCTAGTTTATCGTCTGATGTGCGGAACGATAATCCTCTGAAAATGAACAATTAATAAAATATCCAATTATTTGAAATTTCTTTTTGGCCATTTTATTTTAAAATTTTTTTTGAAGTTTTTTTTTCACCATTATGCTCGAAGTCGAAAGTTCTTTCAAGTTGTTAAAAAGATAAAACATTCAGTTTGTGATACATTGTAAGCGCTGTTATTGCAAAGATTAAAAATTTCTGGGACAAAAGAGAAACTAAAGGATAGAGGCGGATAATAATTTTTCTTTTAAATTGTTTATCTCTCAAAAATTAACTTAGATGGTCTGGCCCTTGAACTCTCTGACCAGCCGGCATGTGTCCAGTGTGTCCATTGGTTAAACCGACACTAGGAGTTTTACTCATCAGTTAGTTAGTTAACCATAAGTGACATTTGCTTGAAGTGGCCGAAAAATAACTATCCAACATGTAATAAAGTAGCTACTTATCATTAGTTACTATGTAACTAATTAGCAAAGCTAAAGTGGATCCCAGAAAAAGGATTTATAGGTCTACTCAAATTCAGCTATAGAATGTTTGCAGCAAAATTTTTCAATTCATATAATGATTGTATTCATAAAACTTGTATTGTATAAAGCTTTATCTATTTATTTCATATTTGTGTTCATATATACAATACATAGTTATACAATATATAGTTTTACATGTTGTAAAATTAAACTTTGACTTTCCGTTTTATTGACAGCGCCTTTTTCTACCCGAAATTCCTTTAATGCGCCTCTAAGACCATCCATGATTTCCTTTAGGATTTACCGTTACTATTTCTGAAAGGTTGTTTTTTTTGAATATAAAAAAGTAAAGAAGTAATACCTTAATGTAATAACTTGAAAGTTATTGAAAAATAAACCTTTCATATTCATTTATTAGTAAAACAAGTTAGTTCGGTAATGCAACCTGCGTAGTTTCGGTAATGCAACACCCAGCAGTTAAAACCAATATTTTAAGGATTTTTAGACATTTGATTTAGTAAATATTACATCCAGCAAAAAAAATTTTCTCAAAAACGTATTTAAAAAATTTTTATTAAACGTTTTTTTTTTTGAAAACCCAAGTACAAGATTTGTTAACTAATATATTATATAAAGTTTACTTGAACTCAGAAACTTAAAAACGCCATGATGATATGAAAAATGTCAAATTTTTGAAATGTGGATTTACTTAGTTTATAGCTTGATTTAAAGATAATGAATAAAAAAAACATACCCGAATGTCATTTTTATGATCCCCATGCATAAACCCTCTTTTTCCATGCATTCGGTAATGCAACGCATTTTTTAGAACGGCTCTTATATTTAAAGTTTTTGCTCAAAACTTTTTTTCAAAAATAACATATCTAAAAAGTTTAGATCTTTTTTATTGGTAATACTGAAAAAAAATTTAAAAAATACTGAGCGGCACGGCAATAATCTAAAATCCTGTGAGCCGATGACCTTGTTGCAATAACGAACAGAGAACCATATACTGATGATGATGATGATGATGATGACGATGATGATGATGATGATGATGATGATGATGATGATGATGATGATGATGATGATGATGATGATGATGATGATGATGATGATGATGATGATGATGATGATGATTAATATATAACTTTTTTCCTAGTTGGCAAAATCGAAAAGAGCCTTTTTTTCCAGCAATGAAACTGAAAACAAGTAACGATTATTTAAAAGTTAATTATTTTGTATAATTATATTTGGTGTGGTTACGACCTAAAAATTCTACTGTCAACTAAATCGACTAATATATTTTAAAATGTCTACTGAAATTAGTTAACACAATTTTTAAATTGATATAAGTTGATTTAGTCTAAATATTTCAAAAAAAAAATTTATTTAATTTAAATTATTGCAAAATAAATTGTAATAAAAATAATCAAGTCGTTTTTAACTTTTAATTATATATATTTAAACAATTTATTAATTATATATATATTTTTTCATGTTTACAATCACTAATTGTAAAAGGTATGTAAATTCAATTTAACAAAATGAACAACGTATGTGAATGAAGATCTTGAAGATCTTGTTAAAATTTTCAATAGTTTAAATAAATGTATTTTTTATTGATTTTTCGAATAACAACTTTTATAAAGAAATATTGTATTGTAATGGGTAAGGTATAAATTTTATAAGAAAATATTGTATTTTAAATTGTGAAAAGGCGGGTACCCAGGTACCCGCCTTTTCACAATTTTTCACAGCTTTACAATTAACAAAGCAAAGAGTTTTATTATTAAAGAACAGTTATATATTAAGTTAAATCAAATATAAATATGTATTTATATAGTTGATGAAGTTAAATCAAATAAAAAAATCGAAATAAGAATGTTAGGATAATTACCCGACTAAATCGATTTTTAGTCAAATAGTAATAAATCTGGAGTTGATTTGCTCGACTTTTGACTGATTGACTTATAGTTGATTTAGTCGAAGGCAATAACAACACTAGTTGTGCTGTTAAGTAGTTTTTTTATTTTATTCTTTAAAATTTCTAATGTTATGAACATAATCAATATAATGTTATGTTATGAATTTCTTTTATTTTTCTTATTAATTACTTTTATTATTACTGCTTTTGACTAGAAAATATGCAAACTGAGGAAAAGCAATATATGGTCAGATGATGAAGAGGTAAAAATCAGTCATCTGAATTTAAACTATGCACAATACTAAATAAATATTATTTCTTTTACAAAAAGAACTTTTTGTTTAAAATACTATTATTGTTTTATTTTATTAATAGATTTTTTTTCAGGTTCATTTTGAGGAGACCTCTGGAAGTTCACAATTCCAAAACTATTCTGAGGTACTGTGCATATGCACTAAATTATGCATATAAAAATATTTATGTATATATGCATATAAAATCCAGATTAAGTTCTTATTTATTAATCTAAGCTTTTATTCGGTATATAAGAAAAGATGCAGCTATGTTGCCAATTAAAGGGTTTCCTTTAACTGAGTCAGGTATTTTTTGTTATGGGTTAAAAGAATATTTTTGTTTAAAATATTTTTCTTGTTTAAAAAACTAATAAAAAATAGTCTATGGTTTTTTGGATGTAAGTTTTCTTTATTACATAAAATGTAATAAAGAAAATTCTATGTAATGTAATAAAGAATATTCATATACATATAATGTAATAAAGAAAATTCTATTTCATTTTGAACTTCTTTTTAAATTAAAATTATTACACATTAAAAATAATAAATTATATATCTCAAAGTTGTGATTTTATATTTTCAGAATTTCAAGCAAAAGTAATGAAATACTTGATCAAACAAGATCAAAGGCTTGAAAGTATTGAGAAAATTTTACTTAATTTAACATCTTAAACAGTTGGAGTAACTAAAGAAGTATCCCCAGTATGTGATTTGACTGAGTTACACAATTTAGAGAAGAAAATAGAAGATGAAGAAGAATTTAATAAACTAGTTAATAAATTACTTTTTGAATTTATGATATTGATAATTGGCATAAAGATCCGGAGAAAATTAATACTTAACAAAATGTCTGTATTTTAATAGTGCCTTTGGGACTTTACGGTAATTAACATACCTACTAACATGAAAATTGATTTTAATTTTAAATGTTATAAAATAAAATGTTTATGTTGTGATTAAGTTTTATTTCAATTTTTTAATTTTATCAGGTTTTATCACTCTCTGCTGCTGGGGGTAAAGATGTTAAAGAATTTGTGAAGAATATTATGGAAAGGTTTGTTGTAACAGTGCTATGGACTCACAACCTCTTTATGTTACTGATATTGATTAAAATATTAAAAGAAATATGTTGTTTTAGTGTGGTTACGTATGATGTGTTGGCCAAGTTTAATTTTCGGGTAACTAATCGCCTCGAAAAAAATAAAGAGCTAAGACCAAGTAAAGAAGCTTTTAAAAGTCTTAATATATGCAAAGTTGTGTGCTGTACGTTTTATAAATTATTTTAGTTTTGAAAAGCTTTTTTATATTGTAAACTAAGTTCTTATCTGTTTTAACCCCTTTTAGTATGCTATAAGAACTTTCATTAGTTCATATTTAATTTTTCTTTTGTTATTTTCTATAAATAAGTAGTAAAATATTAAAGTTTTTAATAGTTATATAAACAACAAAATTTTAAACTTAAGTTTATTAACGTTATTGTCCAAAACGTTTATCTTTAATGTCATTCCTTATTTTCTCCCAACATTTTCAAATGGAGTTAAAACAAATAAGCTCTCTGGTCACGATATGTTAACATTATTATTTTGGTATGCAGTTTGATTATTGTTTAAGTCAGCGTTTACAATAGGTATAAATTAATAATAAAATAACTGTTTCAAGCATTTTTTTTTTACTTCAGGTGCAGCAATGAAAGATAGAAAGTTTTTTAAAGAAGATGTGATAAAGTGTGTAAAAGAAATTTTACTTTATGCTCCAGACAAGGCCACAGGTGGAAGGCAGTTTTCTGTATAAAACTTTAAAATTATAAAAGCATAAAATATAAATTACTTGTTAACTTAAAAATTATATTATGTATTATAATACCAAAATTATATTCTAACTTTTTATTTTATTTGAATTTAGACTCCAGCTGGAGTATACTAGGTTGGTTGAAAAGTTCGCGGAGCGGCACCTATGTTGCAGTAGTAGAAACAAATTTATAACTGTATTAAACGTATTCATTCTTCGTATGAACGCATAAAAAATTTCAAGTCGATATGTCATTTCAGTCTTTGTTTACAAGCTATTGAAATTAGACGTGTCAGTATTTTTTAAAATGGAAAATATTGAACATCGTGCTGTAATAAAATTCTTTGTGAAAAAAGGTTTAAAGCCCATGGAAATTCATAATGAAATGGTAAATGTGTTGGGTGATGATGCTCCTTCAAAAACAACAGTATGCAAATGGGCTGCGGAGTTTCAACGTGGGCGTGTTCAAGCCTTGAAGATGACCCTCGCTCTGGACGTCCAAAAAGTGCTACTACTGAAGAAACGATTAATGCTGTGCATGACATGGTTATGGATGATAGACGATTGACCAAACGTGAAATTACTGAGGCTGTGGGCATCTCAGATGAACGGGTATTACACATCTTGCACGATGAATTACGTCTGAGAAAGCTGTTGGCAAGATGGGTGCCGCATTCGCTAACTCTGGATCAGAAACGCACTCGAGTAAAACTTTCTCAAGAACATTTGGCCCGTTTTTAAAAGAATAAAACTCGTAACCATGGATGAGACTTGGGTTTACCACTATGATCCGAAGCTGCGACAACAAACTGCAGAGTGGACAGAACCCGGTTGTTTAGCTCCGAAGCAAGTGAAGGCGTCAAAATCGTCAAAGAAGGTTATGGCATCAGTTTTTTGGGATGCGAAAGGAATTTTATTAATAGATTACCTTCAAACCGGTAAAACGATAACAGGTGAATATTATAAAAATCTTTTGGACCAGTTGGATAAAAAAATTCGTGAGAAAAGACCTGGTTTGCTGCATAAAAAAATCATTTATCACCAGGACAACGCACCTGCTCATATCAGCGATGTTGCAAAGGCGAAATTGGTCGAATTAAAGTACGAATGCTTGGAACATCCACCCTATTCACCAGATCTGGCTCCGTCCGACTTCCACCTCTTTCCACATCTCAAAAAATTTCTACGTGGAAAGCGTTTCTCATCACATGAAGAAGTCATTGCAGCCGTAAATGGGTATTTTGAAGGCCTTCCGGAATCGCACTTCAGAGATGGGATACATGAATTGGAGAATCGTTGGAAAAAGTGTATTGCTCTTAAGGGAGAATATACTGAAGAATAAAGTCATTTTTTGAATCATAAAATTGTTTTTTCATTTCTGCTCCGCGAACTTTTCAACCAACCTAGTAAACTAAAAAGTTAAAAATCGTTACTAAAACGTTAGAAATCGTTACTAAAGCGTTAATATGCATAAAACATAAGTTTGGAGTTTGAAAAGAAAGTTAAAATTTAGTAGAATTTTACTTTTAACTTAAAAAACTCGAAACTTAATATAAAACATCATTGATTATAAATAGTTCGCTAACATCCCTTTTTTACGTCGCGCTAATATCGTGTTTTAACATCAATCCAACTTTCAATTTCCAACATCGATGCGACGTTGCATACAACATCGCAGCTACATCGAATGTTTACATTGCTATTACATCGCAATTCGACGTCAAAATTACATCAGTTAACAACATCGCCTAAACATCAAAATTTTACGTCGTTATAACATCGCCTATTAACGTCAATCCAACTTTCCATTTCCAACGTTAATGCGACGTCGCGTTCGACGTCGCTTAAACGTTAATCCAACGTCGCTGTGCCCACTGGGTATTAATATTATAACATATTTTATCTTACATTGTATTACAATGTAAGATTGTTGTAATACTGTTAATCTTTTTTTTTTTAATATTTGACTGCTAATCTTTCAACTGTAATAAATAATATAAATTATTTATATTATTTATTACAGTTGAATTTTATTTATTACAGTTGAATCGTATTTTATTTATTAAATAAAATGCGTTCATATATAATTTATATATGTTAGTGAAATTATTCAACTTTTATGTATAATACATGTAACATAACCCAACGGGCATTTGTTGGTTTAAAATTGGTTTAGATCACGTTTAGATGGCATTTACGTCGATCTAAACGTTTAGGAATCTAATCTAAACGTGTTCTGAATATTTAATTTGCGTTGAAAAGCTAAATCAAACAATTTCCGTACGGAACTAACTAAATTAAATTAGTTTCTTACAAAATGTGTCGGACATTTTGAATCTTTCATTATGATTAAAAATTAGAGTTTCTTATTAATCTTAAATTATGTAATAAAGGTTTAGAAAAAATAAAAGAAATTTGTTTTTAGTATTATATTGTGGCTAATGAAGGAGTTAAAAAGTCCTGTAAGTTCTTCGATGATATTGTATGAGCGATTAAAAGTAATTTTAAGTACAGTATCAATATATTTTGATAATTCTTTTTTTTAGTTATAGCTACTAAAATAGCAGTTTCAAAAAAGTAGCAGTAGTTTCAGAAAAGTAGCAATTTCAGCCTCTTTTTAAACTATTTCTTAAATTGTTTTTTCTGTTTGGTTTTTAACAACGCTAAAATATTACTTAAAATGCATAAATTTTCTCTAAAAGTTTTAGAGGAAAATTATGCAATTTAAGTCGTAGCTACTTTTTAAATAACTAAATAAAATTATTATTTTTTGTTTATTTTAAGACCTAACATCTATTTGTTTATGATAGATGTTATATTGATCGAATAGCAATGTTATATTTATACTTATAGTGCAGTCAGTGCCAATTAAAAATTGCGAGGTTGAAATATTTATATAATGGATCTTCAGTTTTAGTGAAGGCTTTTAATGTAAACTAAAAAATATTTTTAAAAATTTAAGTAGTATTCATACTCCTATATGATAACCACTAAAGAGAAAATAAATTTACTTATGTCTGATATGATTATTATATTGTATCATTTATTATCTCTTTAGTAGAAAAGTTAACATATTTTGAACAATAATATATATAGCTATATTACATAATTTTATGAAATCCGCATAAATATATTTTTTATTGTTAAGTTTTGTGTGTTTAATTTCATTTAATATTTTATATACAGTCCAGTCAGTTGCAACAACAATTAAAGCAGCAGGAAACAGCCAAGTACACATGCAAGTGGTAAGTTTTTGTGACTTTTTTACTCCTTTAAAATTTAGATTTTCCTAAAATAATAAATAAGTTAATGGCTATTTCTGTAAAGATTCTGTAAATAAAAACTGCAGTGATTTTTAAAACTAATAGTTATTCTTTTAGTAATCACAAGATAAAGTGCTAACTCTGTACTTTGATTCTAATAGTTGAACAACTGTCAGATATTTACCTTTTAAATCATAATCTAATTGCTCAAGCTTCTGAAAAGCTATAATAAAAATTCAACGCTTAAAAATTAATGTAAGATTAAAGGTAATTCCTGTTATATTTAAAAGGTACATTGATGATTGGTTTGAGTCTTTAAAGTTTAAATTAGTTAAAAGAGAGTTCAAATTGTTTAGTTTTTATCTTATGCTCTATATCTAAAAGCTATTGAAATATTTATAGCATTATTTTTTTTTAATTTTATTATGTTATGAAAAACTTACCAAGCTTGAAGTTTTAACGGGTTGAAATATATAGTATGTATAAGTATATCATCCCTCGGAATTAGGAAAACTAAAGTCTGCAAAAAAAGTTAAAAAACGAGATGACTAAACTTATTTAAAACGCTTTTAACAAGTTAATGTTATGTGTTGATGTACCTTCAACCAAATTAGTGTTAACATTTTAGCAAAATGTCATATCGCCAGTCTGTTTGAAGAACCAGAAGCTTGATATTTTATTGAATTGTTATTTTAGTTTGTGATATGATAATTTTTATTCACAAAATGTTAAATAATTTACTTTTTAAATTTATTTGTCATTGCTTTAATAGATAGGATAAGATGTTTTGTTATTTCTTTTACAGATTGTTATGAGGATTGCAAAACTTTTAAATATCAGAAACTGAAGAAAGCATTCATAATCAGCAGATATCAAAAAAGCGCAAAAGTACTGATTTTACAACTCTTTTAAAGGTTTCATTTTAATTTGTTAATGTTTATATAGAAACTAATAATATATAAATTGAAAATAATAACATATAATTAATCCATAATTGTGCATTATTCTATACTAAATTTTTTTTTTTTTCAATTTCTTCAGAGTTAATATTACTAGTTTAATGCAATTACAGTAGAAATGGTTAATTATGGAAAAACTGCACTAAAAATTGAATAAATCGCTTGTTAAAGCAAATAATATTATATATATATATATATATATATATATATATATATATATATATATATATATATATATATATATATATATATATATATATATATATATATATATATATATATATATATATATATATATATATATATATATATATATATATATATATATATATATATATTATAAATTTAAAAATAATAGTTTTATTTAGTTTGTTCTAATTTTTATGTAAAAAAAAAAAAGAAGCAAGTTTTAGTTAGTAAATGATTAACCATTTTTATGGTTATAATATTTTTATGGAATAGTAAAAGAGTTTTTATTTTTCAGTTGAGGAAGAATTTTATGTTAATGTTAATGCAAAAGGTACGAATATTGACAGGTTAGCTAATTTGATGTAACAATAAACATGAAATAAAGTTTGTGAAGACCTTAGTGCCAAAAATACTTGCATGCATTATTCATGCATGCTGTATTATAATATAGCATGCATGCATGATGCATTTAAGTATAAAAAAAAGTTACAAATGTTTAATTATACAAAAAGATTATGGATGTGGTACTGCAAGTATATTCAATTGATTATGCAAGTAAGTTGTCCTACTTTACATCTTTGAAGACTAATAATAATTGTAATGAACATATCTCAGACAATATACACTCGGATTTATATTTTAGTTAAACCATCACCACTTCTACAGCCACCTTGTCTCAAGCATTAAATCGCATTCTAAGATATCTTTATTCAAATTAAGTGTGACTACTTTACCAAAAGACTCTTGAATGGACCAATCAAGTAAGATGTCTAAATCTATATCTTTTATATAGAACTCCTTTATTTTTAAATAAACCTGTTAATTTTATGACTTATGAACATATTTAGCAATGTAATCCTTTTAGGATAGACTTTAAAATCAAATTTACAATGTTTTAGTAAATTTTTATTTAAAATAACTTTGTATACATAATATATCTATATAGTTATTTACATAATAGCTAACCCATCAGTACTTGCAAAGTCTCTTTTTCTGTAAGCCCAAAAATTGAGTTCTAAAATACCATTATCCACATAACTACTTTATCAAAGTACAATCTAATGGATTGATCAAGTAATACTTAATTTTTACCTTAAATTGCGTGTTAGTACATATATATAATTTTGATATATAAATTTTAATTATTATGTTAGTTGATTAGTTTTTAAACTTTAAGAAGTGTAAGAATTACAATTTTATTTTTACATGTTTATTTATATTGTAGTGAAACTGTCGGTATCTCCACAACTTTTCAATTAAATAGAAAGTTTCAATTAAACAGGATACTAAGTGTGCCTATTGCTCCTCAAGACAATAAATAATGGGAGTTATCAAACTTTATATATATATTGATATATATATTCATTGTCAAGACAATGAATATATATATATATATATATATATATATATATATATATATATATATATATATATATATATATATATATATATATATATATATATATATATATATATATATATATATATATATATATATATATATATATATATATATATATATATATATAACTTATCAACCCATAACTACGATAACTGCAAATTTTTTTAATAAGGTTTTTATTATATAAATGTTATATATTTTACAGAGTTTTAAAGAAAAGTTCTCTGTCAATTGTTACCATAATTACTCAATGTACACTCTACTATTGTACAATCTTCTATAATCTATAAAACTATGGATTTATAAAGTTGTTAAATGAATAGAATGAAGATGTTTGTTGAATTATTTTTATTATTTTTAGAAAAGAGATTGTATGACTTCGGTATCCGCAATACGGTATCGTGCATTGATTTCCATCTTAGAATGGCTCTCTTCCGTATAGGTGGAAATAAGATAGGTTGTGTCCTTTTTTCTAATTCTTAAAACGAAGAGGCTTAATCGGTTCAAACAAAGATGACGATGATCATTATGGAGCCGATCATGATGACGAATACGATAATGCATATAATAATAAATAAATAAATGTTTTTACTTGTATCTTAGACTTATATAAATAAAAAATTATTTGTTTAATGTTTGATTTGTTTATGAGTATTTAGATAATGCGTTCAGCGTTTAACTTTTTTTTACGGTGCTTATTTAAAGCAGCTTAAATAAAAGAAAAGTTTGATTCGTTTATCAATATTTTGTATTTATTTATGCTTCTTTAAATAAGCGCCGTAAAATAAAGTTTAACGTCGCGAAGTTTTAATCGAAAGATTTAAATAAAGTTTAAATAGCGTTTAAAACGAACCATTTAGATATGGTTTAAATGGAACATTCGATTGACCTACGTTCTAAATCAAAACTAAATTAAATCTAAACATTTAGAACGAACATTACCTAAACGTTGATTAAATGTTCGAATGCCCGTTGGGAATAATGAAAAACATTTGTTATATTGTTTTAGCAACCTAAAGCAGTCCATTGGTGGCAGCCAACAATATTAGCTAGTTATTTTACACATTCCATACCCATTAGTTTCTTTTAACATAAGATCAGTAGATAAGTTTGTAAACGAAATGTTTGTATTATTTTGTTAAAAAAAGTTTTTCAATTGTTTTTTAGATGATGCTTTTGAGAGGATAAGTCAGTTTCTTGGTTATGCTTTATTATTTTAGTATTTAGTTATCTGCTTTCAATATTCATTTAAAGATCTTTATTACAATTATCCACAAAATTTTTCTACAGTTGTTTATTTATGTATTCCTAATTGTTGCTTTCTTTTTATTGAGTCATTGTTGTTTTTTTCTATAGACAATTTAGAACAAGTAATGAGTAAGTAAAGTTTAAACTATTTTAGTTATTTAGTCATTTAAATTTATTTTTTGTATATATTATGACATTTCAAAATGATTTATATGGCAAAATAATTTTAAGATTTTTTTTTATGTTTTATTAATTATTTTTTTTTCTCATCTATATCTGTTCAAACTGGTAAGGTTTTTTTTATTTTTATTTTTTGATAAATTTTAAATATAAATATTTTAAAAACAACTATAAAATTGGTATGTTTTCTGTAATCTTATATATTTTAAAGTTATTTATTTTAAAATTTTTAGTGCCTTCTTCCTTTAATCTTACTGGTAAGCGTGTATATTTTTACTTTGCAAAATGATTTTAATTTAAAATATATTCTTGTAATATATTTTGTACTGATCTAACTGGTAAAGTTTTTTATAAATATAGGTTCATAAAAAAACTTGTCTAATGACCAACTTTATGATTTAGAAGATGTCATGTCTGGAAGAATTGTAGGCAAAAAACTATAACATGAATGGCACGATCCAAATATATTCAAGCTTGTTTTGTATAATGGCAGAGTAGAAAAAGTTAGTAGCAGAAAAAATGACTTTGTTTACACTATTTCTTACTGGAAAGATGACGAAACAGATATGAAAGCTGTCGATCATTGTATGAAAAAGATCCAGCTTGTTGCAGATGTTATTTTAGGAGAGTTACAATTTTATTAATTTTATATTATCTTATTAAAACACTGTGATAGTATAAATTTGAAAATCATAAGCAAAACAAAGTACTGCATGTGCTGTGACATGCAAAAAAAGTACTGCAAGTGTTGTGACTTGCTAAAAAAAAGTACTGCATGTGCTGTGACATGCTAAACAAAGTACTGCATGTGCTGTGACATGCAAAAAAAAGTACTGCAAGTGTTGTGACTTGTTAAACAAAAGTACTGCAAGTGTTGTGACTTGCTAAAATAAAGTACTGCATGTGCTGTGACATGCTAAAAAAAAGTACTGCGTGTGCTGTGACATGCTAAGAAAAAGTATTGCATGTGATGTGACATGCTAAAAAAAGTACTGCAAGTGTTGTGACTTGCTAAACAAAAGTACTGCAAGTGTTGTGACTTGCTAAACAAAAGTACCGCAAGTGTTGTGACTTGTTAAAAATAAGTACTGCATGTGCTGTGACATGCTAAAAAAGTACTGCAAGTGTTGTTACTTGTTATGGCTTTTTGATATACGGCTCTGGCTTACCTTCACGTGGTGTCTATTGTTAAAAATGATTATAAAATAACTTCATTAGTGGAATTTATTATTGTAATCATTCACTAAAAGCTAAGACAAAACTATAGAAATAAAGCATCATTAAAATAATTGAACATTATTCAGTGTTAATAACATTTTTATTTTTTTATTTTGAAGCAGCCAAACCTCTTGTTAACCAAGCTACTGTCAAGCACTATATGAAAAATTGAAAGATTTATAAAGGTTGGTAAATACCTTGTTTTGATTACCTTTTTGCCACTATTTACTTATAATAGAAGTAATTCAGTAATAAGAGAATATTTTAACAAATAATTCTCCTATTAATTAATCGAAAAGGTTTTTTTCTAAAAAAAGTTTACACTTTTTCAGGCAGGGAAAGGGGAAATGACCCTACTTATTTGACAAAGGATGCAACACTAATGTAACTTTTGACCGAGTAAGATATATTTTTTACTTCCTTGTTGTTGTACTTTAAATAAAAAATCAGATATTTCATAATTAAAGTTTTTTTGATATTAGGGTGTGTTAAAACTTCATCAACACATTTAACATTAGTTTTACATTTACCTTCAATGTTTTGTAGTTGTCCGGTATTAATTTATAGAACTTTTTGTTATACAGAAAAAAACTTTTAAAGACTTTATGAAAACAGTATTTGTGTTATTTAAATTTTTTTTTTTTAGGTTGGGGCGGGGGAGGGGGTATTAGACCCCCCCTCCATACATCAACGCCCACTTGTGTATGCAAATTCTTGTAAAACATATTTTTATTATGTATACTATTGAATTCATTGTAATAAAGATAAAAATATTTATGAAAAAAGTCATATTTAATACTAGGGTGTATCAAACCATCACCACCGCACCCAGCTTCATTGTTAACATACGCCTCTCATATCATCTTTGGTTTAATATAATTTTATAACAACTTTTTTTGTTTATTTAAATAACTTCTGTTTAAAAAAAAAACTTTTTTTCTGAAAAAAATGATCATTTTCATACGGGTAAGGTGGTAGTTTGGTGCCCTCTCTGTTCATCTGTTACGCCCGATGGTTAGAGTTTAACGAAAATTTGTAGTCCACTCTTAAACCTGTTTTTTGACACCAAGATATTTGTATTTCGATAAGAATTAAAAAAGTTATGACAATTTAAGTGAGGAAAAACATGATTTTGACCTCAGTTTCTTCAACAATTTCATATATCGAAAAATTGATACTTAAACCGTCATAACTTTTGAACCAATTGTTTGATTTTTAAAAATTTTTTACCTTTAAAATACTGTATTGATCCTCTTTCCAATGATATATAACTGTAGAATATTTAAACAATTTGAAATTTTTACTCGCGTACCTATATACATATTTTGACATTTGCGAAACATTAAAGTACCTTGTTAATACTTAGCATTTCCTTGCGCACCAAGTATGGCGTAAAAGTATGCTCCATTTTATCTTCCTTATACTCTGAACAAATTTTTCCTGGATGATGCAATATGATGCCAACTAACGCAAAACAACGTTGGCCCGACAGCAAATTTAACGTAGTTGGGTCAACAAACGCAGAACAACGATGGCCCGACAGCAAATATAACGTAGTTGCGCCAGCTAACACAAAACAATGTTGACCCAACAGCAAATCCAACTTAGTTGCGCAAACTAACACAAAATAAGGTTGGCCCAACGATACAGGCTGCTTGGGTAGGAGCCCAATAAAGACGTCGTTTGTTTATTCTTTATCTAAATTAACTTCAGGTATTTATTAGGACATTTGTTTTACAATTTTTATGCTTGACTTTTTGTTGTTTCTAGTATATTAGAGGTGACTAGACAATCGTGATGTTTTCTGGCCATTTTTTAAGTGTTATTGAATGATTAGAAAATATAACAGACAATGTTTAAAAACAAATACAAATATTAGACAACTTTAAAAAACAAAACCTTTTTTATATACAGAAACTATAAAAATAACATGTTTGCACGTTAAAAAAATGCAATAACTCGGTAATGCGCAAAACAGTTTCATGAAGCTATATTTTCAAGCACTATCACTATAAGACAATTTTTGTGTCTATTTTCTTAATATGTACAGGGGAAGGAAATGACAAATAAAGTTTGTATGCACAAATTGAACGAATGGCATCTTGACTGATATTGTATCTATCTGAAACTATATTATATTTGTATATTGTTATTTATACTTATGCAATTCAGATGAAAGTTTCTCTAGTTAGTCAGGAGCGGATCCAGACTATCTATTAAGGGTTCGTTCTCGCTAGCAATAATAGATTAAATAAGTATTGAGAGTAGTTGGCGTCTACTGCAAAAAGTAATTTAAAAAAATTATTTTTATATATATATATTTATATATATATTTAAACTATTTTTATTTATATATATTTTTATTTACATATATTTAACTATATATATAATAAAATTAATTTTATTTATATACATAGTAATTTACTATCACTTCATGCCATTATCACACCGTCTTACTTTAAACGTTTTACTAAGGAAAGGTAATAATTTTGAAACTTAAAAATGTATTTTTTCAAAGTATTTTTAATTAAATATATAACTAAAAGTTTATAGTTGTTTACTATTTATTACATCATTCAATACCATTACCACACCATCTTTTATTAAACGATTAGCTAGGAAAAAAGAAAACAATTCAGAGACAAGCTTAGTAATTTACTCGGGGGAAGGCATAATTCAGACAGATGTTTGTAAACTAATTTTACATATTTATATAACTAATTTATTCAGTTTAAACAGAAATTACACAACTATCAACTAATTATTAACTATTTTATAGTTGTAGAACTTCAATCATTATACTGATAATGATTGAAGATCTACACTGATAAAGATCAGACTGTCTTCCATTGAGTAATTGATAAAGGAGAGGTATTAATTCAGAGAGATATAATTATTATCTGTCTGAATTTTACTTTTACATATACTGTTATATAATAAAAGTATTTGTAAAATAATTTCATGAAAATAAATAACTAATTAGTAAATAGTTGTTTATTTTCTATCATTACTACACTTTCTTATATCGTCTTTCTTGTATTACTTTTATGTAAACTTTATTTCTTAAATAAATATATAATTAAAACGTTTTTTTTTTCTTTGTTTATGTTTACCAAGGTAGTACGGACGTTTTAAGTTCACTTCTAACTGTTATAACCCGAAAGTGCAATCTCGTTTTGAGTTTTTCATAGAGGGATGGAATAATTCAGGCGGTTGGAATAATCTACTACAGTTGTCCACGGCATCTATACCACAGGCCTTGCCATCGTGCAAACCGCGCATCTGACTGGGAGCCTATTTAAACTTTATTCGCCATTTTTATATTAATTATTGATATTAAAATATGGGTAAAAAATGTTGCATTAATGGCTGCACTACAAATTATTTATCTGCAAAAAAGAAATCTGATAATTTAAAGCTTTTAGTATATCGATTTCTCAAAAATAAAGAAGAAAAATAAATGTGCATTAAAGTAATTCCAAATGCAAACTTAAAATTAACTAATGACACTGTAGTTTGTGAGTTGTATTGGCCAGTAAGTTTGAAAAACAAATAGTTAGAGGAAAATATTATCTTAAATTTCCACCATCTGTTTGGTCTGACATACCGTTTTGTCAAATTCCTACCCATCTTCTTCCATTACGTGCAACAACTCGTGCTTCTTCGTGTTTTCGAAATTTTGCTCAAGATGAACTATCCACATTTTTAGAAAAAGATAGAGTAACTTTTGCTAAAATGAAAAAAATTATTTTAAATAATGAAAGAGATTTAGATGTTCCAATAGAATGCTTTATGGTTAATAACACTATTCATTAACAATCACAAGTTTATTCAAATGGAGCTCCTTATTTTTTAATCAAGATAAATGAGGATTTACACTTTGAAACTTATCATTATGGTGCCAAAAATAAAGTTTCTACAATATTTAAAAACAGATTTTCAAAAATCAACTCGTGGTCTATATTAGAATAAGTTTTGCGTTATTTAAAGATTTAATTCCATGCAGAAAAGATATTGTAATTCAGGAACATTTAGCCTCAATGGGTACACAGTATGTTGGTAGTAAGATTTATTATAAGGAGATTATTATTAGATCTTTTCAGTATTTTGCTACATCTAGAAGTTTTTATAACCAATTGCGAACAGATTACCAATTGCCTTTTGTAAGAACTTAGACAGGAATAACTTCAAAAGTTTTTAAATTAAATGAGAAACATTTTTTTAAACAAATATTTTTAATTCTGTTGAAGAAAAACAGAAACTTTGTTTTTTAATGCATGATGATGTTTATGCTAAAAAAATGTTGTTCATTAATGCAAACAATTATGCAAAATTTAAAAGAAAGTTCAAATAACTCAAAGAACACAACTGAAAGCTTTAAGTTTAAAAGAATGAAATGTGCTTATATTATTTGAAAACATGACTAAAAGTGTTCATAAAATGCAAATTATATAAAGCAAAGTATATATGAAGCAAAGTATATATTAAATTTTTATACAGATTAATTTCAGAAAAAAATCTTATAACTGAGTTAAATATAGGATGAGATGAGCATTTTTTTAAATCAATGCGTTGCTATATGCATTGCTATGCACTTTTAAAGTACATGGTATAAGATTTTGTTGAATAAAAAAAAAACTAAAATAGAAAAATAAATTATGAAAAGTTTTTTCTCAATAAGAAAGCTGAACAAATTTTGTAAAAAAAAATCATCAAAAAAATAAATAAATTGATTTTTAGGATTTTTTTTATAGGTGAACTGCCAGATAGAACTAGGATCTATAGTGACTTAAGGCACTTTTGAAATTTTTTTTTAACTAAATTCATGGTTAACGCTAATGAGTGGACTTGATCTAAAGATTCCAAAATGGTGTTCTTTAGATTCACTATTACGGGTGAATATGTATTGAATATTATATAAAAAAAAAAAAGTTTCTTGAAATATTAAAAAAAACCTAAAGCAAAAAAAATTATATCATTTAAAGCTCTTGTTTGGACATAAAACACTGATAAAGTCATGCTAATACCAAATAAAAGAATTTGAATAATTTTTAAATCGCCTTAACTAAACCGAGTTTCGATTTAAAGTCAATTGTTTTGCGAGCCATTGTGCATGTTTAAGAGTTTATTTTTAAATGTTTTTTTTTTTACTTTCTTTACTATTTTTACGTATGTTTTTTTTTTTTTTTTTTGCTTCCTTTAGTATTCCTTTCAAAATGAATTGTTAAACTTTTAAATTTGAATTAATTAAAGCATATTTTGAAATATACTTTAAAGTTTAAGCAAAGTATAATCAAAAATCGTTTGACAAATGACTCAAAAGGATGCAACTTTGTATAGATGATGATGGAATTGTTTTGAACATCTAATGAAATAAAAATAAAAAAAAAACTATTTTTATTTTTATAAGGGATTCTGCAAACTTTTCTGACATTCTTAGTTCAATCTACATTGCATTTTTATTACATACAAATTTCATAACAACATGACAGATAACATCAGCTTTTCAGTTTAGCAAATACTTATGTCTGAAACGCAACTTTCCTTGCATCGATAAAACAACTCAGTTTCTCTCTTTTTGCTTTCTTTTTTTTTTTCTGTATATTTTTTCTATATATATATATATATATATATATATATATATATATATATATATATATATATATATATATATATATATATATATATATATATATATATATATATATATATATATATATATATATATATATATATATATATATATATATATATATATATATATATATAATATTACTGTTACCCGCAGTACAGGTAGCAAAATTAAACTTTTACAATTTGTCTAATGATTGTGGTAACACATGAAACTCAGAGTTGCAATATTAAACTATATTATATAAATTAGCATTTGGCTAATTCCTATTACTGCTGGTAACAGTAACATATATACTATACAACATTATACATGATAATATAAAGATCTTTTCTATATTTGAATAAAGACAAGATCTTTATATTATCATGTATAATGTTGTATACTTAAAAGAGTGCTCAATAGATAAACTAGAGCTATAAAGTATATATGTTACTGTTACCAGCAGTACCAGGAATTAGCTAAATGCTTATTTATATAATATAGTTTAATATTGCAACTCTGAGTTTCATGTGTTACCACAATCATTAGGCAAATTGTAAAAGTTTAATTTTGCTACCTGTACTGCGGGTAACAGTAATATTATATATATATATATATATATATATATATATATATATATATATATATATATATATATATATATATATATATATATATATATATATATATATATATATATATATATATATATATATATATATATATATATATATATATATATATGATATATATATATATATATATATATATATATATATATATATATATATATATATATATATATATATATATATATATATATGCGTATGATCAATAATTGAATAAATAGATCATTTTCTTCTACATTCAACTTAGAACCCTATGTTAATGAAACATCCTTTGAAAACTACCATGTTAATGAAACATCCTTTGAAAACATTTTTAAATGTTTTTAAAATTTCTTTCTGAAATTTTTAATGTTGTCAGAATATTATATTTGGTTTTTAATTGTTTTACTGATGCTACTGTTTATACTAATAAACCATACGTCATTCATAAATCAAATTTATAATATTAATTTAAAATATTATTTATGTTGTTTTTTTCAATTATTAATTCAAATCTTAGTTTTATATTCTTATTGCATTTTAATAATATAATAAATATATATAAAAATAATATATAAATATTATTGTTATATAAATAAATATACAAATAATATATAAATACTATTGTATGTGTAAGTTAATATTTGGATAAGTAAATATAAATTAGGCAGATTTTTATTGACACAGAGAACTTGTGTTTTAAAGTTTATTCTTTTCTTTGCTTGATATGTTTTCTACTGCTTGCATCCATCAAACTATTTCATTACTGCTAAGCCATCTTCATAACCGCTAAAATATGTGAACAATAACTTCTATTATTTCAAAATAAATATCACGTCTAAAATAAAAATAGTTTAAAAATATGATGCCGATAAAAACGTCCATAATTTTAAAAAAATATATATTGTCTAGCGCTCACTCAATCTTTTTTGTCGAATACGATTATTAAAATCTTATTAATCAAACATTATTAAATAATATTTATACTAGTGTATATTATATATATATATATATATATATATATATATATATATATATATATATATATATATATATATATATATATATATATATATATATATATATATATATATATATATATATATATATATATATACTGTTAAAAACGGTGCTGTGGAGTCCGAGTCGCTAAAAAAAACGCGACTCTGACTCCA